TGCTTCCTCTGCTGCGCGCACCCTGGGAGGGTGTAGGGGGACATGTGCCCCCAGATCTGCGTGGGGGAACAGGGAGTTGCAGCTGTTATTACCCAAAGTATGCAAGCACACATAGACAATGCCTACCAAAGATACTACCTTAGGTTGAAACTATACTGACATTATGCAAAATATGCCGCATCCAGAATTGAACTAATAAAAATGTAATGAAATAAAGACTTTGAAATTTGGCATTTTATTTGTAAGACAGGAAGCAAATTCCTGCTCCTTTAAACATTTTAATGTTATATGTAATTTCCAAGAAGCCATTCAATTCTATGATGGCAAAACCTGTGATACTCAAGTTGCTTACCAATGAAAAGCAATATAAAAGTGAAGGAATACTTTACCAGACAGAGAAGCATGTGGTATATTTGCAGGTAGCTTTTTCAGAGCTCTTTTAAATTGTGCAATGCCTAATACAACATTTCGTATCTTCATCCATAGGAAATAACCACCTCTATTGCTCGAAGGCCAAGTGCTTTCCAAAACAGCCTAGTCAACAAACAAGGTAAAATGAAGTGATCATAATGAGTCCTTGCTTGCTACCATAGATCTGTTTAAGATTCATAATGTAAGGACAATCAAAAAGTGGTTGAAATAAAACTGGGCAAAAAACTGTATTGAAAGAGTAAACTGCCAGATGTTCCACAATAAAGACAAAGTAACTTACTCTACCTGATTCTTTTATAACTGTTCCTTTAGTAAGATTTTACTTGCTATTTAGTTATGTTTAATTATATAAGATTACATCAGCCTACTTCCCTGCTACAAAACATGTACCTTATTATAGTAACCATAGGTAATAGCATTAGGATCAACTCCAGCTTTTTTCATTTCAAAAAGGACTCGCACTGCAAGCACTGGCTGGCCATACTGTCCACAAAGTTGCATAAGCACCCGGTAACACACCTGCAAACAGACATGAAATAACAATGGTTAATTTATAATCTAATGTATACACATCTCCAAACAAAAACCACAGGATATTCTTTTTTTTACCTCATCAGGTGGGTCTATCTTTTTGGTATGCATTTTTCGTAGCACATCATATGCAGTCCTCAGAGCCCTGACTTTTGAATGGCACACCTTCACATATGCCGGAAGGCAGATAAACCACAGCCCATAGCAATGACGCAGCAGGCACCTGGACCACATTTGAGGGATGGAGGAGTACCTCTTAGCAATCTTATGAGCTGACTTTATTTCCTGTAAAGACGTGATCAATTAATTTCATATTTGTATCTTTATAACATACACACACTTGTAAAATGAATCAAATACTCAAGAAAGAGAAACATTAATGAGCAGTCTGGGATACTGACAACAGCTGCTGCCCAATCTTCCTCATATACATTTCAAAAAAAGATCATAACTTTTTCCCCCCCATTAATTTTCAGCATAAATGAGGGCTTTAGGCTCTCTCTGCACAGGATATGTCTAGACATACTGAATCTTAAAGAACTACAGAATCAGGGGTACAGACAAGCAAGAAAAGCACCATTAACACCAGGGGCTCAGTTCTAATCCAAGATAAGCAAAAATGAATCTGGTAGAATTGGCTCCTATGGACTCGGTGGCTGCACATGAAGAAGCTATTTACCTCTCTCAGACTTTATACTAAGCTCCAGAGGTCTTCTATTGCATATGGAAACTCGATCTAGTCCATAAACAAATCATAGTTTCTCCTTACACACACACACACACACACACACACACACACACACACACACACACACACACACACACACACACACCCACACACACACACACACACACACACACACACACACACACACACACACACACACACACACACTCAAAGCAGCATCCTGGAATCAGTTCAATTAATCAGAGGCCTTCAAGCCAGCTTAATTTTCAGCCGTTCTTACGTTTCCAATAAGAAACAAAAAATATATTCTTTAAATAACGGCACTTTCTCTCTGTTCTCTCTTTCTACCTCACTCATCTGGATTGTGCTATGGAAAGCTATTCATGTTCTAATCTAAAGCAGCTAATTTATAATCTTACAT